GACGGACAGACGGACAGACGGACAGACAGACGGACAGGGCCAAATCAACTCAGCTCGTCGCCCTGATCAAGAATATATATACTTTGTGGGGTCTGCCACGCCTCCTTCTGCCTGTTACATACATTTCAACAAAACCATTATACCCTGATTTCCCATTGAAAATGGGTTCAGGGTATAAAAAACAAAACATATATTCAGTCGAGTCTCGATAATTCCCCCGCTACATCGATAAATGCGATAAATCTAAAAAAAATTCAATCCTCTTGAAAGAAATTGGTTCTCAATAATTCTCGATAATTTGAACTTCTGTGTAAATTGAAAGAAACTAGGGGATCAGTTTTTTTTTCGATTTACACAGAAGTTCAAATTATCGAGACGTGACGTTCCGAATAATCGGGATTCTACTGCATAAAAAGAAATCCATTGAAACAACATAAAGCTCCAGAAACCCATATATAATTTAAGCTCTGATCAGTAATAATAATTAAGCAGAAGACAACCGTTGGTTAGGGTACCTGCTAGTCGGATATGCTTGACTAAGAAAATGATTCTAGCTCGTTAATAATTAACAATCTGATAATTGCATTGCACAGAATTTCAATTCCCATTTGCTCATACAACTCTACAAACTTTACCAAATTTATATTTAATCAGTCGCAATTCACTTTTGATAACTTGCATTACCTATTTATTTCTCAATTAGTTTGCAGCACGTTAAGCACCCTCTATAAACTTTAATGCCGACTCTCAGCCATAATAGCGCATTATGCCCATAATTGCACACTGAAAACGCCAGACATTAATAAATCACATTGCCTTGGATAAGGCAGACCGAAAGCAGGCAGAGAGCTCCCCTCGTGCCCCCCAGGCGCGAGATCGAGCGAGAGAGCGGGAGAAGTTGCTTGCACTGCTGCACCAGTTTGCAGGTCTTTCCCCAGTTCAGTCTACTTTCTGGCTGAGTGAAGAAAATATCACGTGTAGCACAGTTAGGGGAGCGCACGCCCACAGTTCCCGTTTTAGCCAGAGGCGGCGAGCTAACCTCAAAAGGCAAGGTAAAACGTACGCCTCAAATGCTTTCCGGTACTAAAACAAACACACACAACAACAACAACAACAACAGGGGGTGGGGATGAGAGTTTGGTTAGAGTTAGAGAGTTAACTCTAATATAAAAACACATGAGAAACTTCTTGAACAGAAAACACGACTACAACAACAACAGTAATAGCAACAACAACACCAACAACAACAAATCGAAACAACTTCGCAGCACTGCGCATGGTTTGCTTTTGTTGTGGTTTTTTGCTTTGTTAACTTTCGGTCGCATTGCTATGACATTGGCGCCCACTTCTGGGGAGGGGGCGTGCCGGCGCTGAAAAAATACAAAATATATATGTATATGGGCAGCCCTTCAAGCCGGGCCAAAAGTCCAGGCAATCAGTCGCTGGTTGTCAGTCAAACAAGCCGCTCTCTCTCGTACAGGTCGCACGCCTTTGACGACCTTTGAAACCAATCAACAAAAATTATAATTGCGTTGCCGATTTCTTTGTGCTCTCTTGGTCAAAAGGAAAACATATTGATCGGTCCATCAAACCAATTACCCCATCAATTAGCGCATGGTGTGTATGAAAGGCGTGCAGAACTCTTTTAGTTGCCAGCTTTGCATTCATATCGAAATCGCATATGTAAAACTCTCATCAAATCTATTTCCCACTCCACTCACAATTCAAATTCATCAAAAACTAGTGGCAAATACGTCAAATTATAGCCCGATGGATACCCAGTAGGTAAGTGATCCGTTGGGCAACTGACAAGCCTCAATTGCTTTATATCTACGTTCTGTTTGTTTTAATATTTTTAATATTTTTTTCGTATCATTTTTATTGTTCCATTTGCACTTGTACCTTGTGTGTTCGCCCGCACATGAATATTTAATTTGATTGCATTTTCCTATGTTTATGTGCCGCACACATGTTTCCGTTGGCTCCAAATCCACCGTAAAGTTCAGTTACCTCGGGCCTGACATTGAGCCGCCAGCGAAATGTTGGCTTTTTTTTTATTTCAAGCTTATCAAACATCAGCAGAAATCCTAGAGTTGCATGCAGAGTACGCCATTTTGATGGAAAAGGACACGCATTAGCATTGCTTAGCCAGCAAATCGATTTTAGCTGCTTTCTTCCCTTCTTCCTTTTTTTTTTTTTTTTTTTGGTGGACTGAGAGATATTATTAGTGGGTGACAACAGAACAACTAACATTAATGCCTATTATTTCTATCGATTTTTGTCTTAAGTATAATTTTGTGCAAGTTTCCGTATTCATAAATAGCGGGTGAAAAGAATTTTTATTGGCTATTTATAGAAAAAAAAGTTTCAAGTTTTTAGCCAAGTTTATTTTGGCTCTAATATACCACCAGTCTTTTAATATTTAATTTCTAATGAATAAGTAATTATATGTAAATAGGAGAATGATAGACCAACAGAGAGTGACCGAAATAAAGCGAGACCGGCAGAGAGAAAGAGCGACAGAACTAGAGAGACAGAGAGTGATACAACAAACGAGGCGCGAAGCGAAAATGAGAGAGAGAGATATACTAAAAGAGAGATAGTGAAAGAATACTAATATATGCATACGCAATAATAAATTTGAAATGAAGTCTTTAAAGGAAGAGTGAAAGAGACAGAGAGGGAGATAGTGAAACAGTGAGGGAGAGAGAAAATGAAAGATAGAGAGAAAGAGGGTCAGAGAAGGAACAAGAGTGAGAGAAAGAGGCGGAAAAAAAAAACAGCGGAAGAAGATAAATAAAAAGAAAGAGAGATGCACATATAAATCGAAAAAGGGAAAGAGAAACAGACATTTGATAAATAAAAGACATTTGTACGTCACAGAAATTTGATCAGCGTCAGAAAAACATCAAAAGACAAAGACAGAAAAATATATTGTATGAGAAAAAGAGACACAAAGAAAATGAAAAGAGACCGAGAGGGTCCAAACTATTAGACGAATGAAAGAAAACAGACAAATAGAGAGCAGAAAAAAAAAAAAAATATAAAAAAAAAAAAAAAAAAAAAACTTAAAAATTTAAAACATAAACAACATATGCAAATATATAGCTCGGTATACGACAGTTTAATACCATTTGAAACCAATAGTCCCCTATGGAGATCTTGAATTGCATAAATATATTATAATAAATTAAAATTGAATAGAAGATAGGACAAATCACACACACAATTAAAAGAAATTTTAATTAACAAAAAAGCTTTGCGATAAGATGATATAGAAGTCCCTCAACACAACCTATAAATTGAGCCAATTATTATTTATAAACATTATACCCTGATTTCCCGTTTCAGGGTATCGAAATTTATACAATCAACTCCAACAATTATCTGCACAAAATATTTGTATTTTCTCTACTTTCGCTTTGCAAACTCATTCACAGCCATTTCAATAACTCATTAAAACTTTCTAATCTCATTCGTTTTCGTTGCAAATGAAATTCATCAAAAAAAGCAAAAGCAAAACTAACACAATTAATCAGAAACGTAATCGCATCAAAGCAAAATCAACTTTTGGACAATAATCGAAAATTGACAAAATTGACACAACTGTAAATAGTAAAGAACATCAAGTAAATGATCACCGCTCATATATGCCACATATGTGACTCTGATCTCTCATGTGTGCGTGTCAAACCAATAGCATCCTAAGCATTCTATGTACTCAATGCAAAGCAATGCGTCGTGCAAACATCAAACGTGGTCAATGTTTGAGTCTAAGGTAAAGCTAAATTATTCAAAACTAAATGTCTATCTATTAAATATTTAATCTATGTATATGTATATGTCTGTATCTGTATATGATTTATAGAGTTTACAATTTGAATTGATATTTATATCAATTTCAGACCACAAGGTAGCAGCAAAATGGATCGTTATGAGAAGCTCAGTCGCCTAGGCGAAGGCTCCTACGGTGTTGTCTACAAATGTCGAGATCGGGAAACGGGCGCACTTGTAGCCGTCAAAAGATTTGTCGAGTCTGAAGACGATCCAGCCATACGGAAAATAGCATTGCGAGAGATAAGGCTGCTAAAGGTGAGTTTATGCATGCAGTAGAAAATATTTAAGAGACTATCAAGTGCACCATAAATGTAAATGTAATGTCGATTAATTATTTATACTTGATTTTTTATATAATTTGTTTATTAAAATACATGTAGGTTAAAATCCATAACCTTTTCTATTTGAATATTATCTATTACCATCGATCTACTGCTATTATCTAGTGTATGCCTTTGAATCTAGATTCTCAAAATTTTTACATTTAGCTTCATGTATATTTGAAAGAATTTTAATTTTTAATATCCAATCACACTGAGATCAGCTCAGGGACAGATAAATAGATACAGACTTAGTTAATTTATTTCTTAATTTTTATATAGATCAATAAGCAAATCAAACTTTTAGAAAAAAAAATATTACTTTATCATTGTAATTAATTAATATAGCTAAGAAGCTAAAGCTAATATAGCTAAAGAAGTATTCTAATCGCTAATCGACACTTTACGTGATTTTTGTACGAATTTTCTTATGTCGAAAAAACTATTTTAACATTTCTCCAATTCACATCAAAACTAAAAGAATAATTTTTCTTTAATAGAACATTTTCCTTTTCTAACAGTATTTCCAAAAGAAATTTTGAATAAATTTTAAGTCGTAAAATATAAAAAAAATTA